AGAATGATCTTGCCTGCCTCAGACTGTACTAGAATTCTCTATATTTAAAAAAGCCAGGGTTTTGTAACTTATTTCCCTATGTAGCCTTATCCCCAACCTTAACCTCAGAGCTCAGAGGAAGAAGAGGAACATAGATTGCATGTCTCTGAAGTGGCTTTCCTGTCAAGGTCTTAGTCTTGCTTTTGCTGGCTGGATTAAAAATGGAAATAAAACCCAGTGTGAGCAAGCATGTGGGGAAAAGGGAATTTTCTTGTATTGCCTGCTGGTAGCATGAAAATTGGTGGAACCTTTGGATGGCAGTTTGGTAACAGGCTTGGAAATGTAAAGTGTGCATTGCCTTTGAGTCACTTCTAGTAGTTTGCCCTGAAGTTCACATTCTGTAGTACGGGAAATAACTGAAAAGGAAGTTCAACTGTTTTAACATAGTGGTAACTGTTGCAAGTAATGGTTTAGCATAAAAAAAAAAGAACCACAAATAGCAAATGATCTTTGGAAACATTTTTTTTTCAAGAGCGACCCTTTATATAATTGTGATGTTATGTCAAATATGAACTGAAGGATGTCAATCCATAATATCAAGAAAGATTATACTAAAAAATCTCTAATGTGAGTCAGCCTTTTTTCAGTCTAGTCAAATCAGTTAAAAAAATAAAGGGGAGATCAATTAGAAGTCACTATTTCCAGGTATATAAAGTAATTTTCAGGAGACAGTCTGGTGATAGCTCTGAATAGATTGTCATATGCATGATTAAATGGCCCAGTAGAAGCCCCATGCAGCTTGTAGAATAGTCTTCATTTTCAAACAAAATCAACTGCACTTAGTTGTCTGGTCTGGGTTAGAGTCCTTTTGAATGTCATGGCTATGAGAAGAAGAGCCAGTAGTCAAGCACTCTTAGTCTCAAACTGGAAAGGCCCATTCAGTTTTTAAAACAATCTTATAAATTTTCCATAGTAAAAAAAAATTACTGGGTTTTCATCAGGGCAGACTTTCAGGAGAACTAAAAAGCACCTGTTCCCTCTCCTTTTTAAATCTCTTGGCATAACACTGCATATCACATCTTTTATGCTCTTTAAAATCTCCATATCTGTAGTTGCATCTCCATTATCATTGTTACTGTTTGTGTCTTTTTGTTTTCCCTGGATTAATCTTGTCAAACTTTTTTCTATTTCCTTTACTTTTCCAAAGAATTAGTTTTTGGTTATTGTCAACTTCAGTCTTTTCTTTTTTCAAAAGAAAAGTTAATTTCTAAATTAACTAATCATTAACTTCTGTCTTTATCTTTAAAATTATTAATCAAAACAGAATTTACATACATTTTAAAAACAGGTATATATGGGAAAATATATTTGATTTACATTTCTTGGTGCACATAAGGGTCATGCAGGGGCTTGTGCACTAAGTTTTATATCCTTCTTTTCCTTTGAATTTATTTTGTTTTCTCTTTCCAGTTTTCTGAAAGCTTGGTTCATTTGTTTTCATTTTTGTCTTTTTCATGAAATGCATTTAAAACAATAAATTAGCCCTCTAAATACTGCTTTGGCCATATCCCACAGTTGCAAAATTGCATATATGGAAAAGTTGCTTTATTTACTTAGTGGAAGGGTTTTATCAATAGCTCTCCTTCTATTATTATTTACTACTGCCATTTGGCATTCATTCTTTACTTACTGTGTGGTAGGCCTAAGAGAGTAAAAGTAACACCAAACAGTTTTTCCGGTCAAGGAGCTAACAATTTCACATAGTAAAAACAAAAATCAGATACATTGAGTGCTGAAAAGGTTTTCATCACGATTTTTCTCATCCTCTCTGGCCTACAATTTTAGCCTGTCTATCTACATTTAGCATAAGCTTGATTAAGAGGGAATAAGTGGAGGAAGGGGATACAAATTCATATTCAGCTGTAGGCTAATAAGGTTAGCAATGGCTATAGTGTATGTTTATTACCTGAACTTTGATTCTGTCTCACATAGTTGGTGATAAGAATTTGGAAGTTCCTACAAGTGATCTATTACTTAGGCAAATGGTTCTTAACCTGGGTCTGTGAACTTTGATGTAAAAACTATATATATATATATATATATATATATATATATATATGTACATATGTAGTTTTTAATATGTATATAATATATAGAGAGTACTATATATTTATATACTTTTTTTTAACTAAACCCAAACTGAAAATTAGCATTTCTTTCATCATGAATGTAGGCAGCAAACCACAGGAATGTTAGCAATACCTGTGACTTTTTCCTCAATAGGAAACACACATATTATCTACCCCATTTAAGTTGTAGATATCCCAAAATATTGTGTATGTGTATCATTACTACAAAATTAGGTCTTTTAGGTCTTGCTCTTATTATTTAATGCATTAATAAACAGGCATATACATAACTGTTTCAGTTATCTATGGCTGTGTAACACAGTACCCCCAAAATTAGTGGCTTAAAACAACAAATATTTATTGTCTCACAGTTTCTGTGGGTCAGCTTGGCTAGTTGGGCCTTCTGGCTTAGCGCCTGGTTTTACAAGGCTGCAGTCTAGGTGTCAGGTGGGGCTGCAGTCATCTCACTGCTCAACTGGGAGAGAATCTACTACTAAGCTCACTCATGATTATTGGCAGCGTTCAGTTCATCACAGGTTGTTGGACAAGGGCCTGAATTCCGTGGTGGTTGTTGACTGGGTATCTCTCAATTCCTTGCCATGTGGGCCTCTCTGTAAGGCAGGTCACCACACAGCAGCGGACTTCCATGAAAGTGAGCAAGTGAGAGAGCGAGGACAAGCAATACGGAAGCCACAATCTTTTTGTAACCTAATCACAGAAATGAAGGGAATTACAGAGGGCATGAATACTGGAAGGGGAGAATCATTGGCAGCCATCTTAGATGCTACCTACCGCATAATTATATCATAAATTCACTTATTAGTATTTTGGTAACTGTATGTCAATATTATCAATTTCCTTTGTAACCCTAGGTAGTTTATGCATTCAAGAACACTGTTTTCAGGCTGGGCGCGGTGGCTCCAGCCTGTGATCCCAGCACTGTGGGAGGCCGAGGAGGGTGGATCACGAGGTCAAGAGATCGAGACCATCCTGGTCAACATGGTGAAACCCCATCTCTACTCAAGATACAAAAAAAAAAAATTAGCTGGGCATGGTGGCACGTGCCTGTAATCCCAGCTACTCAGGAGGCTGAAGCAGGAGAATTGCCCGAACCCAGGAGGCGGAGACTGCGGTGAGCCGAGATTGCGCCATTGCACTCCAGCCTTGGTAACAAGAGCGAAACTCCATCTCAAAAAAAAAAAGAACACTGTTTTCAAAAGGGGTCCGTAGACCACCAAAATTCTAAAAGGTTACATAGCGCTAATTTGTTTCAGTGAGGTACTTTCAACAACTTCCCAGGGAAATTTGTTTACAATGGTCTCAATTTAGGAACTAGAGGTCAAAGTCTTAGCTTATCCCATGTTAACCTGGACTGCTTCTCTATACTAGTTCATATTACTGTAGTATGGAGCATTTGAAAACATAAATTTGCTGTGGAACAAATCATACACTGTTCTCAATTGTACCCATTTGAATGGTATGTGGATGCGTGCAGTGCAGGGAGAAGGGCACATAGGCCTCTGTCAAGCTTGTCTGATCACAAACCTCCTATGCTTGTATATGACAACTGTCATTTGAGTTTCAAAATGACCCTATAAATGGAGCTAATCTCCCCCAAAATACACTAATTACCAAACTAGAACTTTTCCCTTACTAAGCTATGTATGAAAAAGCACAGTGTAAGAGACAGAAATGATGTAATGCTTCTTTTTTAAGTCTTTCGCTCGTGTCACCTGCTCTTGGGAAACTTAAAGATGTCGAGTGGCCAGGTGCGGTGGCTCATGTCTGTAATCCCAGTACTTTGGGAGGCAGAGGCAGGCAGATCACCTGAGGTTGGGAACACAAGACCAGCCTGACCAACATGGTGAAACCCCATCTCTATTAAAAATACCAAATTAGCCGGGAGTGGTGGCGTATGCCTATAATCCCAGCTACTTAGGAGGCTGAAGCAGGAGAATCGCTTGAAACCGGGAGGCGGATGTTGCGGTGAACCGAGATCGGGCCACTGCACTCCAGTCTGGGCAACAAGAGCGAAACTCCGTCTTAAAAAAAAAAAGGGGGGGGGGTGGCATTTCTAAGTGATAATTTTTGCAAGCACTGTACCAGCTTCATATATTGTCTCAGCTAAAAGCTAAGGGTATTTTACAAAACCTCCAATATTCATATTGAGGATATATTTGTCAACAGTAATTGGGAGTAATACTCTTATTTGGCTTTTCCGAAGGCCAGTGCCAGTTTTGTCCCCAGAAGCAAACTGCATCCACCTTCCCAAAGTTGTCCCTTTTGAGTTATCCTAGAGGGGGGTGCTCATCTGCACAATTCTTGGATCCTAATGATAAAGCAGTCCAGTACTGTCAGTTATTTTAGATTTTCCAAGAAAACGCAAACAGGTTTTTAATGTATTTTTTGTGGCATTTCCAAATGCTAGTTCCTCTCGAGTCTCTGGAGGCTCCTCAAGGTGAAACAGAAGGGTTAAGGAACCTAGGTGGCTTCCAGTCCCCACAGCTTCTGACTAAGCAACTTGGTCAGCCGATCCATCTTTGTTGACCACTGTTTCCCAGTCTGAAAAACGTGTGAATTCTGTTTACATTTCTAACATTCTTTGCATTGCACTGTTTGAAAATTCGGATGACATTTACAATCTGACTAATGTCACAACACACTAGGCCACTTCAAGAGCGGCCTGAACCATTTTGAGTTAAAATGGCAGTGAGGTGAGACTGGTGAGAGAGGAAGTGGTGACACTCCAGTCAACTCCCTCAGAACCAGTCGGGGACTTCACCAGGCAGAGGTGGGTGGGGTCGGGAGGGCCGGCGTTGACGACAGAAGGCTACTTCCGGCTGTGGTGCGTATGACGTCAGGGCGAGTCAGACCGGGCGAGCAACCGAGAAGCCTAGGAGGGAGGGCTCGCGATAGTTCAGGGAGGCCGCCTCGAGATTCCAGCGAGGCCGCAGGTCCCACCTCCCGGGGGCGGGGAAAAGGGCGGAGCCGGGAGAAGGGAGCGGACGGGCGCCCGGGCGGCTGCGGTGCGTGTGGAGGCTGAGCCGGCCGCGGGTGCGACCGGAGGCAGGTGAGTTCGCGGATACGGCGCTCGACTAGGGGCCCGGGCTCGCCAGGCCAGCCCCAACTCTGCGAGCAGGAGCAGGAGGAGGTCTTAGGTGTCTTTGGGTGTCCAGGGAAAGCCGGCTAATTCCGGGACTGGAAATGTCTCCGGGGAAGCTGCGGCGACGGCCTTGGCCCTCTGATTCCCCGGGGTGATACTCGCCCCGTGTGTCCGGAGAGGGAGCCTCGCGCCCGGAGAGGAATCTTTGTCCTTCCCTGCTCCTTTCTCCTTCCACTCCCCGGCCCCCGAGCACCCAGCTCCGGGTACCCGCCTGGGCTTCATAAACAATAACAAATGTCGCGCATCCTCTCCGGGTAGCCCTAGTGCTCCCGTCCCGTGCCCTCCAGCCGATGTCACCCCGAGCCAGGATCCGAGGCATGGCTCTTCAATTGTGGGGGCTGTTTGTGTACCGTTCCTAAAAACTGATGCGTCAGATTGCCAAACATTTCTCAAGACAGACTCAGGAAAGCCTCCTAGCTCCCAGAAGCCACGGAGTGCTCAAAACCGGTCTCACAATCTATCCTTTACCATTGCACCCGTAGCCCCTTCCTTTCAGAATCATTTTCTCCCACTCCTTTTTTCACCTTTAGTATCGAGGTCAAACAAGTGGTTATTGGTGTGGGAATAGGAAAGATTATAACCGATTGTGTAGGGCACGTTTCACCTTTAAAAAGTTGCCAGGTTAACAGCAAAAGAACAAACTTTATTTTCAAAACCAGTGGGCTCCCGGTTTACTGGTGCTGCTTTTGTTTTGTGGAATAGCTTTTCGGATTCTAAGTTTGGAAGGATGATATAAAAAGAAATGGGAGGTGGGGGGAGGGCTAGTGGCTCTGGAAGTAGTACATTCAAAAGTAGGATGCTGTTGTTTCTCACTTGATAACATGCAGAACCAACACTCTTGCCTATTTCACATAACTTGTGATAAGTTTTGAGAGAAGCCACTTAACTCGGAAATGGCTTAAGTATTAGCTTATTTTACTGCTCAAATCTGAAGAAACAGCTTTAAGTGATTTAAGTTCTGCCTCTTGATTGTAAGATGGGGATTGATGAATGAGACTTTTGGAGCTGGGGCTTACATTTTACACATTTTACAGGTCTCTCTATTATAAGGCAGGGTCTATTGTATTAAGCCCATTTTTGCTTACTCAGTACAGATTTTTGAAAGTTCTTTGTCTCAGTCATATATGTATATAAGGTGTGGTAAACATCTTTGAATTTGGCCTTTGTCTCTGCCTCAGGATATGTAAAACAATTAAGTTTACTAATACTCTCTCCTCAGTGGCTGAGAGGTATTGTATGTGAATTAGCCACCCTTGTGACAATTTGAGGAGAGAGAAGTTGGTCTAAAATATGATGTTAAATTATGATATTACATAATTTTACTGCGTAAGTTCATCAGACTGCTTCCATCTGAAAAATCCTGATCTCAAAAGAGGCACAATGAATTAAAAAATGTTTTGGTTTGACCTCACTTAGCTTTGTTTTCTCCTTGTTAAGATGGTTGATAATGTTTCCCATTTGGTTGGGATGTGTTTAGAATGAGAAACAAAGTTGGGTGCAGTTTTTATACTCTTTTGAAAGGCCCTGCCATTGAGAATGAAAAAATTAGACTTAGAAAACCCACATTTAATAGAAGCAGTTCTTCTCTAGCCATTTGCTCTTGAGTTTGTTTTAAAATAAGTCAAAAAATAGAGACTAAGATGATTTGTGCCAACAGATAGATGTTCTCAGTTTTTATGCGGAAAACTTGATTTCTAAAGATAGGACACTATAAGAACAAAGGAAAAATTGGACTTTCTAAAAAATGGTAACAAAGCAATGGACTCAGTTCAGTTGTTTGCTTTCAGAAAAGTTCTGTTCTCTTAAAGTAAGGAGAGCATCATTGTGTTAGTGAAGTTGGTTAATGCACTTTCAAAAGTGCCTCCGCAGAGATCCAGGATAAGTTGGAGGCTTTTTTGTGTGCGAGGCACTTTTTTTTAAGAGGGAAAGAGGGTACAAATCAAAGCCAGAAAGATTTGCATCTCAATGTATTGTTAAAATGAGTTTATTTTACGTAAATAGTGTAGGGTGACTCAAGCAAGCATATTGTCATCTAGCATCCTTAGGATTACATTACAATCAGCAGATGAGCAAGTTATTATTAGGTTAGACTTGACATATGCAGAAATTATGCTACTGCATTTTTATATTACAAGCACCATGGTTTTTTTGAATGAGATAGTGAAAGCAAGCTTTTAAGACATAAGAACTTTTTAAAAAAAATTTGAAATATATCTTTGGTTAGTAGTTTAAAAACATGAAACTTATCCTTCTCCTCTTCCCCCCAAATTTTTAAGTCTTAAGAAAGTATTAGCAAGGTATGACCAGTACTTAAGTGCACTGGTTGCATAAGTACTTTACCTTCTCTCTCCAGGTAAAGGTTTGTTGATTGACAGGTTATTGTTCAGAATCTTTAGAGGGAGAGAAATGAAAGACAAGAGTGAACAGTGTTTACTGCTCTGTACACTCGGGACAACTGTGGTTGCTGTTTTCAAGGAGATATATAATCCAATGGGAGAGAAATGTACCCACCCAGGTAACTACCATAGAAAATGTGTTTCATGAGGAAGCCAAAGAGGGAGGGATTAAATGCTACTAGACCAATTAAGGAAGACTGAATAGGAAAAGGCATTTGTGTGGATGATTTAAGTGATCTAGTCATATGATAATGATGATAAGTAAATACTTTATATAATGCTGCTTCCTGCTAAACCCTTTACATGTATTACTTACTTGCCTGGCTTTAATCCTCGCAACAACTGTATGGAGTAGGTATTTTTATTATTCCCACTTGGCAGATGAAGTAACTGTGTTACTAAGGTTCAATAGCTACTGAGTGGTAGGACCAGGATTCTGATCGAGTCATTCTGGCTTGTACCCATATGGCTGTGCTTAACCATAATCCATATTTTCTCTCCCATTCATGATGGCCTTCCTCAGGCCAAGTTTCAAAAACTTGACTTGGGAAATACATTCTTCTGACATCTAAATTTTGGGGTCAGTTTTCTAGAGTTCCAAAGTAATGAACACCCAAACAAATGAGTTATTTTTGACATTATTTTAGTCAATTTTTGAAGTCATTCTTGGTGCAAATTAAATATAACTATGGAGTGGGACTTTTTAATAATTTTGACTTACTACCTATAAGTACTCATAAGGACTTAGAAGTAAAAAGTTATTCCATATTAATTCTTTTGCTTTATGGAATGTTTGAATCATTGTATATTTTGTCCTGTAATTTATATATTTTTAAGACAGAGCCTCATGATGTTCCCAGGCTGGACTCGAACTTCTGGGCTTAAATGATATTCTTGCCTCTGTGAAACTATAGGGCCACTGTGCTTGGCTTTGTTCTGAAAAAAAAAAATTTTTTTTTTGAAACAGAGTCTTGCTCTGTCCTCTAGGCTGGAGTGCAGTTGATCATGGCTCATTGCAACTCTGCCTCCCGGGCTCAAGTGATCCTCCTACCTCAGCCTCCTGAGTAGCTGGGACTACAGATGTGCATAAGCATGCCCAGCTGATTTTTAAACTTTTTGTAGACAGGATTTCACTCTGTTGCCCCAGCTAGCCTCAAACTTCTTGGCCCAAGTGATCCTCTTGCCTTGGCCTCCTAAATGCTGGAATTACAGGTGTGAGTCAATGTGCCCATCGCTGTTCTGTAATTTTTTAAACCACTTGGCACTGGATAGTTTTGGGGTTGAATAATGAAGTTGAAACTTAGTATGATTGAATGTTGGTTTCAGCCCTTTTAGTTTATTTTCATGAATAGCTATGCTTACAATGGCAGAAACAGGGTGAATAGAGTGTTGTACATTTATAAAATGAGAGAAGTTCCATGAGTGCTACTTTATGTTGGGGCAACTTTGACAGTTCTTTGGGATTGCAAAATAAAAGATGCCACAGACATGCACAGTGTCTTGTATAGGCCTACTCAGTACTGTAAATGTCCACCTGATTTTATTTATAAAGTTTCAAGAATAGTCCACATTTGTTACTGTTTAAGACTTGGAATCACAAATTCAGTTGGATTTAAAGGTTAGAAAAAAAAATATGTAGGCAGGGAATACAGGGATTGAGCGGTGGGAGAGTGGTATTGCCTACCTTTTCCTAACTGTCCAGCAGAATCCAGACTTCAGCTTCTTTGTCAGTGCCCCCAGATGACTGTACTCATAGTTTAAGTACAGCTCTAGAGTCATAGTCCCTGTGAACTAATGTAAGTATTGTCTACTTGACTGAGTAGGGTTGGTTCTATAAGACGCCTTTACTAGGACAGTTGACGGTTGATGAGCTTAAAACCTAATGGGAAAAGTAGCAGAGCTAAAGACAGGATTTAAAGCACATATATTTATATTATTGAAATAAGACAAAGATGGCAAAACAAATTTTAAAAGTTGTTTTTTAAACATACCTTAAATTAGTAGTGATGGTATATCATTTCCATTTACCATGCCCTGATTGGCAGATCTTTAGCCCATCATTTCATGGAGATACTTAGGTGTGAACTTTGCTTTGTTATAAAAAGTTTACAAGTTCTTCTAAGTATAAGTGGTTTTGGAAGGTTGTCTTAGTTAAAAGGGTGTGTGAGTTGGTCTATCAAAAGGAAACTGGTCATACTGTTACCTCCTTGCTGATATAAATTTTACGGGAATCTTTTCCCACCAGGACTAGTTTTGTCTACATTGAAAATCCACTGAGACAGGTAGCCTGCCTCTTAGATAAGCTCTGCACAGATCTTAGGAAGATCTTAGGGAAGTTATAGGTCTTGTGGTGACCTGTTCATTCACATTCATATTGTATAAATTCACATAGGCCTGGAGCCTTGGCAATTGTATGTGGTTTGTGATGATAACACTTCTATTACGCTTAGCATTTATTTATTTATTGTTGAGACAGAGTTTCGCTGTTGCTGTTAAGGCTGGAGTGTGATG